AAAAAGACTGATCTCTCCCAGACGCCCAGTTACCCCAATAATCAGTAATAAACACTAAATGAAAAAAAATACATGTACTATAAAAGTACATGTTAATAATTTAACATTTCTGTATCTAATGAACACATCTTTCAGAAGTCATCTAAGTTAGAAATCAGGGTTTTGAAATAGTATTTATCACAGAAAGCTGGATATTAGGGGTAGATACGCTGAATAAATATACTTTTTAAAAATACTTCCTATGTAAAACAAAAATCTATTTTTTCTAGACTGAAATATAGAAATATATAAAATAAAAATTATTTTGCACTATTTATTCCATGTTGCTTAATAGCCACAATTATACTTTTCAATATTGTATCTAGGAAAGGTTTTTAACTAAGCTGTTCAAGTGTAATAAGCCCCGAGACTCCTGGGAATGTAATTATCTGGTTTGTTTTGAATCAGACTGTCTGCAGTTAGTCTAGTGTTTTAATAAGGCCTATAAGGATTAGAATCAGTCAACATATGAATTATGAAACTTCTAGTCAACCTGAAGTACAGACAAAAAAAAAGGCTAAATCATGTGGGAAATTGGGTATCCCTGCAGGACTGTGGTATATTATTTACAACCATAGTAAGTACAGGAAATGTAAGATTCAGTCAAGAAAGTTTTTGTCATTGAAGGGAAAAAAGAAATCATATACTTCTCAACATGTAAACTTTCCCAACAGAAGCAGGTAGGTCTTTAGCTACTGTAGCTAACAAAGTGGGAAGAAGTGTTACTGCAGTTTTGATAAACCCAGGTAATTTTAAAATGTGGTCTCTAAGTCTATCTAGTTTAGAAAGAAAATGGTTATCACTATTTTCTCCATAAGAAATTTGCCATATATATTTTAATGAAAATGTTTTTCCATAATTTGCAATTGATTTTATTACCTTCTTGGTATTTGACATTATAAATTGATTATAATCAATATGATTTTTTTCTAGTCAAACTCTGAAAATGTTTTTATTAAAAAAAAAAAATCCAGTTGGGCAGAAGTCCACAGACCCCACCAAAAAAGAGGCTCAAAATAAAGGAAAAAGATAAGAAAGTCAAGGAAAGAATTTATGTTGATGGAGCAAACAAATCCAAATCTAAGACAATAGAACAGAGTTCTCAAAAGAAATTAACCCCACAATTGCTTCAGAGAGAGCTTACTGATAAGAATTAATCTAGCTCCCTGTAAACCATAATAGCGAAATCTACCTATAAAAAGGCCAAAAAGTGATTTTAAGGAGTCTAGATAAAGCAACCCTGTGGTATAGTTTTAACTGGTACTATATCCCAATAGCATGTAGTTTAGGGAAAGGTCCTTAATTAGCTGTCACAAGTATCAAGTACTGATAGGTGAATCACTTCTGATAAATTTCATTAAAAAATCTCCTGACTCCATCCAACTTTCCTATAGTTCTTACATATTAGTCTTCCCATATTAATTTCCCTTCTGAGATGAGAATGTGATGACTGACTCATGAACATCATCTGTTTGGCAGCTATGTTTCTGATTGTGATTTATGAAATCTATTTTCTGTTATAATCAGTTCCATGTGAGCTTAGGTTGGGTCCTGTGTGACAACTCTAGAAACTGCACTGTTTCTGTCAAGACTTTAGTATAGACTATCCCAGTGGGAGACCAGGCCCTGGAACAAAGGTAGCCACAGCCTGGCTTACACTCTACAGGGATCAGATGGGAGTGTCTATCTCAAACAATAGTGCTGAGGTCTTAATCTGCAGTGTATTTGTAAGTGAATTCAGAGCCCAGTTCCCATTAGAACTAACCAAAGGTATTTCTACTACCATATTAATCTATATGTTATACAAAATGTCTGAAAACATGGCAGCCAAGATAACGATTCTAAAAGATATTCTAGGGGCGCCTGGCTGGCTCAGTCAGTAGAGCATGCACCTCTTGATCTCAGGGTTTTAAGATCAAGTCCCACGTTGGGTGTAGAGATTACTTAAAAATAAAAAAATAGGAGCACCTAGGTGGCTCAGTCGGTTAAGGGTCTGACTCTTGATCTCAGCTCAGGTCTTGATCTCAGGGTTGTGAGTTCAAGTCCCGTGTTGGGCTCCACACTGGGCATGGAGTGTACTTAAAAAATAATAAATTAAAATAAAATTTAAAGATATTCTAAAACCCCAAAAAGAAACTGTCTGAACTTGAGTATGGTTCAGTTAGGTGAGCAGAAGGGCTCTTGAAGGAGATCTAACACCCTAAATATGAATAGCCTTTGTGTGATTATATTGTCTTATGTTTAAAGTCCAAATAATTTTTTTAAGTGGAGGGGGAGGGGATAACGTATCATTTTCTCAGGTATTTTGGGTACTGCAATTTTATTTTACATTCTATCACATTATCTTAAGTCTTCTCATTGAATGGAAAGATAATTTGTCTCTACTCAGCTTTAATAGTAAAAACGTGAACTTTGTATTTCATGTTCTCCAAAGAGAAATCAAGTTCATTATATAAACAAAGGGTACTCAAATATCTTTATTTTGCCACAGGGAGTGTAATAAAGGAAGAAGTAACAATTGAGTATTTACTAGATTAAGTGACAGTTTAGGGAGGAATGTTCTGTTAGCTTACCCCAAATTAAAGAACATCAAGGGGATGCCTGGGTGGCAGAAATGGTTGAGCATCCAGCTCTTGGTTTCCACTCCGGTTGTAATCTCAGGGTGGTGGGATTGAGACCTGAGTCAAGCTCCGTGCTCAGCATGCAGTCTGCCTGGAATTTTCTCTTCTCCCTATGCCCCTCCCCACTCTCTAAAAAAAGTAAATTTTTAAATCAATGCACCAAGTACTTTTTAAATTTATTATCTTTAATGAACTATGTTTAACATTTTACAAATCTTCAGATTGTTACAGTTTTCAGCAGTAAATATAGTAATAATGGCAATAAATACAATGAAGTGTGAGATTCCTCTGTTGAAATACAAAACATAGAAATACTTAGAAACAAGAGGGCAATATGTCAACTTAAGGTCTGAGATGGAAATTAACATGGTCAAATTCTTTACAATGCCAAAACATGGGTAAATGAGTCATTCACTATAAATGAATACAAACTTTGAGCTTCACCTTTCTGGGAAGTTTTGAGGGACATTATTTGACCCACAGATTCCTAAAACTCTGTATGTATTGATATCAGAGGATTCAAACACAGAAAGTGATCTGAAAATGATTGCCAAAGCAAAGAAGTGCTTTTATTCCTCAACATTTGTGACCTTCGTGGTATACTGCATATTATAAAAGGGCGTAAACCCCATACAACTGCATAAATCATAAAAATTGATTTTATAAAGTCTCAAGATCATAATATGTATTCAAAAATACATATCGCTGTGCTTTAGTAAACGAATCCATCAGTTATTGAGGGATAATTTTGCTTTTAAGATATATCCAAAGTATATACAAAGGATCCACAAATGTTAACAATTTGTGATCAAAATTCTCAAGAGTTACATTTGCAAAAAACTGTTGGTTTTCAATTTAAAAATTTAAGAAAGTTGTGAATATTGTAGGGTAATTATTACTTGGGTTAAGAAAAAGTAGATGGCTTCAGCTTTTTAACAGGAAATTTGTGAACTACTCACAAATGAGAAGTTACACATTTTTGATTAGAAAAGGTAAATTGCCTGTACTTTCCCATTGAGAACAGAATGTGCAGTGTATTAAAAAAAAAAAATTCTGAAACCAAAAAAAGTATTTCTAGAAAAGCCCCTAGGGATACACCTCATTTCCTTTACAGAAGAATGAATAAGTGGCATACTTGAATGATATACCCTTATATCAACATGTGTATTCCATTACCAAGCTAAAAGATGAAACATTTTTATTTAAAGGTAGGGAAAATATAAACTTAAAATATTGAAGTGCACCATTTTACTACATAGTTTCTCACTTCATTCCAACATAACTTATCAATATAAACTGGAGTCAAAAAAACACAAAAGAGAGAAATGTTACTTGCATGCAAAATTCATTGTTCCAACATGAAACACTAGGTCTATATTTTTTAATTAACAAAAACTGCACATCTGTTTAATTTGGCTAACACAAAGAAAATGCACATTAAAGAAAGATGTTAGCATATCCTTCCAATAAAGCAAGTCTATATCAAAGGCACTTCAGCAGAGCACTAACTCTGTAACCTTTTCCAAGTCATTTTCATTTATGCCACTTTTAATGCATCTTTCTGTAGACCAGTAAGAAACCTCCTACTCAAAAAACTAAACCTAGGTATTACCCCAAATATTTCTCTTTCCTATGGATTGGGTAAAATATGGCAAACTTTTGTCTATGTTTTTAAGTTCTTTGGGTTAATTCAGAAAGGAGTATTATCTGACAGGTTAGGTGTTATAGGAAAAACTAAAGTAATTACAGGAAAAAAATTGGCTGAAGTTGACTATCTTAGGGGAAAAAAACGGTTGTCTTTCACTGACTATCCATCTATAATTTGACTAAAGCTAATATGGCTAATTTTGCTTCTTTCAAATTGTTTATGTGCCTTGGGTCTCTATGTTGCTCCCATGTTGAATAGAAGAGGATGAGAAAAAGTAATTTAGTTTTACTTTTCCCCCAAGGGAAAGGGGAAGCTGCTTCAGACATTTGCCTTCATGGAAATTTTAAGAAAAATGGGATGAGCTGATTTTAATTAACAAAGAGCTTTATTTTTAGGACATATGAATAATTCAGAGTTGAAGACAATTATAATTAAAAACAGCTGTTGAATGTATTCATTCTGAATTCTTTTCCATGATGAAGAGAGCATGGGTATATTACTTTCAAAACTAGAAAAGTTGCAAATGCTGTAAGTGATTTAAAAAAACTTTTACTTCTCCATTAAATTGAAACATTTTCTAAAACATCTTTTATGAATGTCAAGAGAAAAACATCTGGATATATACCCTAATATTCTGAAGGTTTTTTTGAGTCTCAGGGAAATAGAATTTATTTTCCTGCTCATCATTTCAAAAAAAATGAAACGTTCATTTCCTTTAGCTTCACATATTTTGTTAATAAACTGAAAGTTTCCTATGATCACCTAAATATTAAATTTTAAATCAAGTTTAAAATGAATGAATGGCAGGGGGATAGAAAAACTATCCTAAAGCTGATTTTAGCCTACATGTATCAGTGAGTCTTAAAGATAGAGGCTTTTTTTTTTTCCAGATTGCTAAAAGTTTTCCTTGACAGCTAAGCTCATTTCACTATAGAAGCAGGGAAAAAAAATTTTAAATAAAAATTAAAGTATCAGAGCGTTCATTTTTCAGATTTCTAAATAACAAGTTAACATCTGATTCTGTGAAGTTATATCCAGAAACAACCAAAGAGCTGCTGTTTCCCTCTCTACCAACCAAGCAGCTTCCTATCTTACAGGAGTAGGATTTATTTTGGGGTTGATACAATGCACATGCCGTTTACTGCAGAAAGGAAATATTGTTTGGCCTTTAAATTCTAGAATAACACCAATAGAGAACATTTATCGTTATTTTCACCTATAGGCAGAGGAGAACGTAACAGTAATATTTCACAAGACTATGATGCCCAAAGAATACAGTTTCATTTCTAAATGTTTGACAGGGGCAGGCATCAAAGCAGAGGCAACATTTCTGAAAGCAACTTTAGGGGAGTACACATTTCACTGTTATTCTTAAGAGGGCTAAATTGGCTGAATGAGCAACATTTTCAGATAACTAACGGCCTGAAACTACTTTACATTTTGAGCTCTTGGATACTTCAAATTCATCACCCAAAAATAAATGAAAATAGGGCAGAAAAAGTATTTCTTGGTATCTTTCTCTTTCATTAGTGAATTGCCATTTTACTATTTACTCTGCTTGAGACATGTCCAGGGACCATGAGCTTGCTCAGTCTCAACTTCTTAAAAAGTTCATACAGCAATTTACAAGAAGCAAAGAATAAACAACACGAGACAGCGGAGACACAACCACCCTCGGTGTTAATTTATGGGAAGCAGTGGGCGTTCCTCGCGCTTCTTCCAGATATTAGTCTTGCTATCCTTTTTGGCTAGTGGTGGTCTGCCCCTTTTCTTCGTGGGGGATATATTGGCTTCAAAATCTTCAGCAGTGCTTTTTCTTCCTGGAGACTCTTCCCCAGGGTGTTCCATGATAGCCCCACTCCCTCCGTCTAGGATGTGCCTTAAAGCCGGGTCCTCAGGGGAGCAAACAGTGGTCCCACTCTCGCTACTGCTTAGGTCTAAATCTTCTAAGTAAAGGATCTTAGGCGGATGCATGCTTTTGATGAAAGTTTTCTCCCTCTCGAGTTTTCTACTTGAGTGGTGCTCATTCATGTCCACCCCAGAGTCCAAACTCGTGTCATTGCTCTGGGCTCTCTTGCCCTTTTTCAGGTCTATAAAGGAATGTCTCACTTGTGCGACTGGTTTTCCATCAAGAGACACAAACCATGCTCTGGGATGGGGGGAAGGCTTTCCTTTGGACAGCTCCAGCAGGGTCTGTTCTGAAATTCCTTGAAGCTCTGATGAGAAGGGAGTCATTACGACAGCTTCATTTAGTGTTCCAGGAACAGAAACCGATTCTAGTAAGCTGTTTGAATACCGGCTCCAATCTGAAGTTTGCGATGGCAGGCTCTGTTGCCCTTCGAGTGGGATATTCTCTTCCCTGGCGTCTGGGGGCTGCGCGTGAGAATGCACTGGCATTTTGGGCAATGTCTGTGTAAAGTTCTCTCTGCTTACTGGTTCCATCAATTGGCCATAGACTAACTGTCCCTTTCTTGGCAGAGTAGCTGACTTAGCAGCATGTACCTGCTCTGGAGTGGAGAAAAGGTCAGACGTTTGAAGAATGGCAATGGGTTGGCTGTAGAGATGCATAAGCTGTTCAGGAATGTGGGAATGTCCATACACCTCCTCATTACCTGTGAGGTATCTCTTTTCCTCTTGTGCATCACCTAGAGATGAAGATAGATTGTTGTTAAAATGTTTAGGTTGTTTGGACCCTACAGTGGGCTCCAAAGACTGTGCTGGGTTTCTTGAGTGATTGTTTTGATTGGCTGATAGAAATGGAACATCTTCATTGTAGATTTTAAAATTGTCCCGAGTTTTTACCATGGAAACTCTTTCTTCTGCTTCTGCCTTTGATGGCTCCTTTTTCTGAGGGCTATATGAGGAGTTTTTGGCATTAAATAACTGTGACTTTTCCTCAGCTTTTAATGCAACTTTGACTGAACTGATATGATTTATGTGTGTGGTTGAAGTTGTCTGGTCTCTCTTGAGGACTTCGAGTTTAGTGATATTTCTTTCTCTTTTCTGTGGAGTACCACACTTATCCCTAGAGTAGAAGAGACGGCAAAAAGTGTTTAAAACTTACGATCCAGAAGAGTCATTAAAAAAACAAACTATCCCATGACATGTGTATTATATATGCAATGATACTGTTTGAGTATATCTACTTTTATTTTAATCTACATATTGTAAAGATCAAACTACTTATTTTTATAAACTTTGTAATACCCAGAACACACTGACATGATACTATAATGATAGTTTTGTGTGTTTGTTCATATTAATATTTCTCTTACCTGCAATAACAAAGCAGCACAGCAAAAAATCCAATGACAATGACTACTGTGCCTCCTAATATGGCTGTGAGAAACACCGTGTGGTAGGCAGTTATGTCCCTTGAGTCTCCATTTATACCTGAACCTAAATGGTCAATATAAACAAAGAAAATATATTATTTTAGATCAAATTTTCAACCACGTCCTATTTTGGGGAAGGCAGATTAAGTATGCGTACACGGTTGTATTTGGTTGCTCCGGTCTCAATGGCAGGCTTCCCAGTGGGTGGAGCATATGTTCCCCCACACTTTGGGCTTAATCAGTTGACTTGTTCTGCTCAATGAAATGTGAGCCCCTTAAATGAGGCTGCATGATATGGCCCTGCCCTCTTGCTAAGATCCTCTAATATATGAACAGCGTATCCCAAAGTACTGCCATTCCTTCAGCCTATGTTCTGGAATGAGAACAAATGTTGAACTGAACCAAGCCAAGCCCAACAGTCATGACAGTGGCTTCCAGGCCCAGCAGTGAGACAACTTGCTTCAGGAGGCAGTAAAACTGACCCATGTTGTATGGCAGCAAAATATTTGGTGGAATAAACTAGGAGAAAATATTTCTGTGCCCAGAGGTTTGGGGATAGAATATTGGTAGGGAGGGTTGACTTATTAGCTATAATCAATTTTAAAAGAAATTTTAAAAAATAAATTCAAAAAAGAATTTGCCAAGGTAAGTAGGTAGGAAGGGTTTTCTAGAAAGGAAAATTGGAGGACTTGAAGGATTCCAAATTGCAACTCTTTCAGGCTGGCCTCTAGATTAAGAAGATGCCACGCAGAGGTACAAATGACCCACTATCTTCCTGTATGAGAACACACAGATACACTGCTGTTGTAATCAGCTTAACTGCAATAAAAGTGGATTAATGCACCGGGATGATCAGCTGTAGGCTATGAAGATTCTGCATGAAAATAAATGCAACTAATGTTGAGGTAACCTGTTTTAATATCACTAAGACTGCACTTGGTTCACAAATGTATGTAACAAGTCTCCTGATCATTATTAACTAGAGTCTAATATGTATTCAGGATGATAATGTGATAAGAGTGATGAGACAACTGGTTTTCTGGCAAACTTTACCATGAGAAATGTCCAGAATAAAAGACTGAGGATCACAACGTCTTTGGATTCTTTAACTTTCACTTCATCTAATTTGATAAAAATAAATAATAATGAATAGTAGTAAAGGTTTTGGAGAATCAGTATTGTGGTTATGCATACAAACTTTGGAGCCAGTGTGCCTCAATTAGAATCCTAGTCTATTTCTTTTTTTAGAGAAAGTTGCTATTAAAATTTAATTCTCTTTAAATATACACATTTCTTCCACACTCACCCATTCTGGGGAGGAACAGAAAACCCCCACCCCGTCCATTCAGGAGACTCCATGTATAAAGGCTGATATGGTGAGGATGAAGTATAAAAATAGTATTTACAAAAGGGAAGAAGGTATCTGTTGCTACCTTAACCTTCAGACACCTCTATCCCTCATCCTCACAGGACCCTTTTGCTCCTTTAGAAAAAGTCCCTGGGAATTCATTTGAGTGTAGAGACCTCTAGACTTGTACTCAAACCCCAACATCGCTGTTGACTCCGTAACATTCTCATTTATTTCTTGGGCAAGTTTCCTTACTTTGTATCTCAGTTCATATCTGTCAGATCTCACCTATGTGGGTTGTTACAAGGATTAAAAGTTAATACTTACTAAAACACTTAGTGCTTAGCACATGAGAAGCAGTCAGAAAGTGTTAGCTGTATGACACCATTGTTGCTGAATGAAACTTCAAGGTTATAAAGGAACAGGCACTCCAGTATTGGCCACACTTTCCTATATATATGGTAAGTAATAACAGACAACCAAGTATAGCATTGCACAATATGCAATTTCTTCAAACAGAAAAGAAATAAGAGTAACAATTCTATCTGCAGATTCTTATTCAGGATCCAGAGCTGCAATGGAGTAAAGTTTGATAATAACTGGATGAAATTCAACTTCTAAGGATATATGAATATATGTTTCCACAATAGAACCACTGTATAGGATTCCAGTGGAACACACTTTTGGAAATAAGAGGCTGATACTGTTGGGTTTCCCCAAAATTTTATATGTAGGACAACAGCAAAAAGTATGCGTGTGTGTTTGTGTGTGTGTGTGCGCGCGCGCCTAAAAAGACAAAGACAAGTATATTTTCACTTAAATATTTGAAAATGTGTATTTAAAAAGAGTCCTAAGTACTTGTTTTTTAAACTCTACTAGAGAAATCTATGAAAAACAACTTGATTTTAATTTCTTGTATTTTCCAAGGAATTCTAGACTTCTACTTAAGACTTATTTAAAAAACAGATTTAGTATGTTATTAACCAAATTTTAAGTAAAGTAGCTCCAGCACACCAGACATTAGTCCATCAGAGGACCAACCTTGATTTTACAAAATGTGATTTTACTCAAAATCTACACTTGGAGCAGGGGGGACATTAGGGATCATCATATCCAACTCCTACAATTTAGAAATAAGAAAACTAATACTAAAATGGGTAAGTACCTATTTCAAGGTCAGCCAGATATTTACTGGCAAAGCCAGAGCTATAATCAAGCTATCTGTATTTCTAGTATAGTGTTCCTTTGACTGTGACATACTTGTGGGTGGATTTTTCAAAAGCATCAGAAGCTATCTACTTCAAACTAAATGGGAATCCCACACTTGTATTTTAGTACTCTGATTCATACAAAATCTTTTCCGACATATAAGCTAAAACAAAACTTCCACCTACTCTAGAAAATTACTTGACTTTTATAATTCATAGTCATCTTATATAAATTGATTTCAGGTATATTTTTCGTGTAAAGTACATTTCTCTATAAAACTCATGTGTTCTTTAGGTTATGTTTTTAGAAATGAAATAACTTGCATTTAGTTGAGTTGAAGTATTAAATATTAATTGTTCTTTTTCATCAATATTTCATTATAGTTGCAAATCTAGAATGAAATAAGGCCAGACAGCTGGCGGGACTGCAGGATATTTTGCATCATGAAGAACAAAAGTAACCACCCTCTGGTTTCTGAATAAATAATCTCGTAAGCACTAAGTTCAAACAAAAACAGGGAGAACATCCCCCTTGATCATAATGGTTAATGGCTCATATATTTCTTCTATTGGAATCCTAAATTTGGGTTTCATTGGGGGGGGGGGAAGTCAGTCTTGTTATCTTGCATGGTTTAAAATTCAAAGGTTGTCAATATAAAATGAAAAAAATTAATAATTTGAAGGCTGTTCTTTCTGAAAATGTTTTTTAATAGTTTAATAGACAGCCATAACAAAGTTAGGTGATTGAATGCTATAGAGAAATGTATGTAAATATATGTAAAATGTATGTATGTAAAATGTCACCCACATCCTGGATCGGGGTGTGCATGGGACTGTTCCCGACTAGCACCTCAGCTGGGAGCCCAGACCCTCAATAAACCAAAAGAATTCTCTGACACATGATTAAAGATGTAGGAATGCATTCAACCTTCACACTCCCCACAAAAACTTCACTAAAATGACACAGAGTTTTGCTTTGTTTTGTTTTTCTAAATCAACCAGCTCACAGTTAACGGAGAAAAGGAGAACAAGATAAAAGAGGAAGAAGGCACTGAAGGCTGCAAGGCTGACCTAGCAAAGCTGGCAAGAGGGAAAGCCAAGAAGCAACTCAGCTGATCCCAGTGAGCACCCAGAAGGCCCATAAAGTGGGAGCAGGCCCATGGTGCAACCAGTCTACACGACACAGGTTAGAAGACTTTAAGAAGATTTAATGGATAAAACATGCAATGTTTGAGTATTTTGAGAGATTTACACAACTGAAGATGCATGTGTGATTTCCTTACTACAAATCATACAGATAATCTGATAGCATGTTAAATCTAGGAAAAGTAAAATACTCATTTGTCCTAGAATATGAACAGAAGGTTCCTAGTGGACGTGTCTTAGCTTTTGTCCACCTCCAGTTCCTATGTCAGGCCAAACTTTTCATTTGGGGTATCGCATGTCTTATCTTGGAAACAGTATGGGGACACTATTTTTCAACAGCCCTCAACTCCAGGAGTGTGCTCATGACCCAAGTCTGGGCCAACCAAATTCTTCATCCCTAGAATGAAGGAACGGTGTGAGGAAAAGACTGCAAAGGATCAGAGTCAGCCATATATGCAACAGCAATCTTGCAAAGACAATCAAATCGTCCTGCTAACTGGATTCCCTAGGATTCCTGGCTTTTTGAATCTAGTTCTTTAGCCTTTCCTGGGATCCTGTGAACTCCCTATATCCTAATTTTATGTAATTTTTATGTAATTATCCAAGATCTGTTCCTATTGCTCACAACCCAAGGCTCTAACTGATGTGGATGGAATTTATTCTTGAAAAGTAAACATTTGATTTGAACAAACTTTATACTTCACAGATTCATGAGACACCATAGCTATAAAGGACCTTAGAGTTCATTGAGCTTAATCTTATACACATGAAAAAATATTAAAATAAAGCTGAGATCAAGAGACTAGAAGCTTTTTCTGACATTATACAGTCGGTAAGTGGCAATGTTTACAATAAAATCAAGACCTAGCAATATCAATTCCAGTTTGCCTATTTGGATTTCTTTTCAAATTACTTTTGTTTCATTTTTACAATACCTCTAGTTCCTGGAAGTGGAGCTGCTATCCAGTAGCCCAAATGTGGTGCATCATATGTCCAAATTAAGTGATTATTATACGCCTTGACTGTTCCCCGGCCATGATTTACCCAAGCACCTATAAAAAGGCAAGTAAAAAATACCAGTTAGTTTATATGTCTTTAATGCTGATAGTCATGTATAGAATACTTTGCAGGACTCTTTCAAAGATTATGAAAACTCTGGCAATATGTTATCATGGGATAATATAGATTATATCATAATAGAGTGTATATTGGGGTGCCTGGGTAGCTCAGTCGGTTGAGCATCTGACTCTTGGTTTTGGCTCAGGATATGATCTCAGGGTCGTGAGATCGAGCCCCACGTTGGGCTCTGCACTTGGCGTGGAGTCTACTTGGCATTCTTTCTCTCCCTCTCCCCTCATTCACATGTGTTCTCTAAATAAAGAAAGAAATAAAGTCTTTAAAATATATTTATAGTGCATATTATAATAATATACACAATACAATGATTTGAATGCTTGTTATGACTAAATAAAGTCATTATAAATAAGAAAGTGTACATATTTAGAGAAATCATGATTCTCCAAGTAATGTTTAAATTGTTCATATTGAGGTATATCTTAAGGATGTGAATAGTGAAATCCAAATTTATCAATAGGTGGTTATTTGTCCCCTGTTCTGGGATTCTGATTAAACACTTATAATGTATATTTTATGGCCTCAATAATTTTTTTATTAAATACTGTTTGGGTCTATTACTACTGGCATGGCTCTTTTAGAACCAAATTTTTAAGAATATTTTTTAAAATGCTATCTGCTCTGGGGTGCCTGGGTCAGTTAAGCATCCTACTCTTGATCTCAGTTCAGGTCTTGATCTCAGGCTCATGAGTTCAAGCCCTGTACTGGGCAGGTGTGGAGCCTCCTTTAAAAAAAAAAAAAGTAAAATAAAATGCTATCTGATCTAATAAAATGCCATCCATAGACAATTCAGTAAAACCCAGTTCTTTTTATAGAGTTCAGCATAACAACGCTTTTTTATAAATTCAGTGTATATTTGTACTTGGTTTGTTAATTCACTGTAATGATAGATCTACAATATGTAAAACAGTGTTTTTAATAAGGTAGACAAACTTGATGGAAATGGATCAGCTTACTGCTTTTAAATAGTCACATTAAGCATTACATATCTGATATATGAATTCAAAAATTTTGTTACTGGAAGGTACATTAGAGACAAAGGCCTTTGTCAGGATGAACAATCAGAACTCAACACAGCTATTCTTTGAAATGTTTTAAAACAACTCTTTACTCAACAAATTAGGAAATTCAGGCTCAAATAAGTGGTTTAAAATCCCACTGCTGGTAAACGGACTAGACTCCAGGGCTTAGAGCTTTTACTCCAGTGATACAACATACTGTATTTGGTCTTAGTCCCCAGCCCAGATCACAAACGTGGGTTCTGCGATGGGCACAAAAACTCCATTCTATAATTGCAGTTAACCCAAGAGCTTGTGCAATTGCTACTAGGGAAAGAATCTTTCTTTCCATTAGACTTTAACCTGGGTAGGTATAAAGTCTGAGCACCTACACCCTTCTTGCCACTCTGAAGGTAAATCCTATCCCAGAAAGTATTAGCACAGATGAGAGAATCAAATCCTGTGAAACTGTCTAGGCTCTGTATCCTGACTCATCCAAAACAATTATGGATCATATCCCTTTTTTTTTTTGTTTTGTTTTGGCAACTTAAAGACTCCCATCTTATTTATATAGAAACACAAGAACAAAACCAAGGGAGGCAGAGGAGGAAAACCTGCGTCTATTTAGGAGGCTAAACTCAGGGACCAAAATTGGTATCTGAGTTTCTTGTTTTGGGATTTTTTTTTTTTAAATAAGCACTCTGTATCTTAATAATACAATGTTACTTATTTTCATGAAATTAACATACATTTCTCAATTGCCTTAACCAACCTTTTAGATACAAGTTCATATTGTCTATCAAAACAAAAGCCTGTAAGAGTAGAAATAATTTTTTAAAATGTATTTCTACTTTTCTATTCAAGATCTTGGGGGAGGCTCAGTCAGTAGAGCACACGACTCTTTTTTTTGGGGGGGGGGGGGAAAAAAAAAACGGGGGGGGGGGGGCAGAGGGAGAAGCAGACTCCCTGCCCAGCAGGGAGCTCCACGTGGGGACTCGACACTTAACTGAGTCACTCAGGTGGCCAACCACATGACTCTTGATCTTGCGATTGTGAGTTTAAGCCTCATGTTGGGCATAGAGCTTTAAAAAAAAGGCATGGGAATGTGAGTAAATAATGCCATTTTTTAATGTAGTATATTGACATCATTTTCCCCACAGTTGTATTATACTAGTCAAAGTGGGCCAATTTTAGTCATTTTAAAGTGCTTAAAATAGTAACATTACTGATTTGGTGATCTACTAAAGATAAAACATTCAAAATATAAATATTTTAATGTTTTAAATAAGACAAATTTTAATTCTGTAGTAAACATAAAAAGTTGCCAATTATACATCAATAAAGCTGAAAAAATTCTAACAGTAATATAGAAACATATTTCTAAGAGCTAACATTCAAACATTCAAAAAGGGCAATATCCAAAATATTTTCACCTAGCTCACATACCTATGTTCATATCAAATGTCCAGGCAGGTATGTGATCCCCTGCACTTATATCATTTGTATGTAGAAGGGGGAGAGAAACTTGAATAGAGCCATCCACCTTTAATTCTTTTCCTCCAGAATATATTTTCACACATATTGCAGCAAGAGGAGTCAATTCAAGACTTTCAAAACCTAAAAAAGAAGACAGTTTATTAAAAATCATATGCAAAATACAGGTTGTCGTTACATACTAATAAAAGTAATATGGGCCTAAAATATTTAAGTCCTTTATTCACCTAGGGTTATCCATTTTAATATCAAATAGATACTGGATCCTCATTAAAGAATTTTAAAATATATCATAAATACAGGTTATACTTATATAACTTGACAAATCAATATGAGCCTAGAGATCTAAGTCTTTCGGAGTAATGTGGTTTAAGGTCACTGGAATCTAATTCAGTGTTTTTAAAAACCTACAAAACAACAACAAAAATACATCTCACTAGTATACTACCCAAATAAAGGTTCTACCATATCACATCATCAATACAGATATGGGTCTAAAACTTGGTCTCTCCTGCTTCCAAGAGCATTTGTTTCAAGTACTAGGACCAACAGACTCAGTTATACTCCTTAAAGTTACCTTGTGTAAAAAACGTTCTGACTCAAAATGCAAATTTGATAGGTTTGACAAACATGAAACAAAATCGGCAATATTGTTAGCTGATAAAGGTAATAAGCTTTGATGTATATTTGATTAGTAGGCTAAATAAAAGCATTAAAATATTACTTAGATTTCGAAGCTTGAAAAGCAGGGAAAGTGAGATTAATAGAATTGGTTATAGTGTTTTGCCTAAGGTTTTAAAGTATGATTATACATATAATTTATAACATGCCTTCTTAAATATCAGGAGCTACCTATATTTCTCTATCACTGACGGGAAAAGAGTAGAAAATGCATTTGTTTTGTTTTTAAATATTAGCAATGCCAAAGTAATAATGTAACCAGAATATTTATAATGAATAAAGTAACATGGTTAAGGATGTTACAATTTAATATAAATTTTCTACAAATAATTTGGTAATTTTAGATTTCCCAATTAAATTTACTAATACATTAGAAAGAGTTGACTAAGGTATATTTTACATATTATTTGCTCTTCATGGATAAACTTGAATCTTCAGCTTAAAAGCTAGAGTTTTGTTCATTCATTTAGCAAATATTCGTAACAAGCCCCTACTGGCACCACATACTCATCTTGGTTCCAGAGATGCAGTGGATACATGATCTCTTACACTGGCTTGCAATATTTTTTTCACAATCCTCATACTATCAAAAATGCTTTTTTCCATTTCTTTGCCCATTATCAGTTTTCCCCCAATTAAAAGGTAAGTGTGTGGTAGAAGGTACCTTACCAGGGCTTTGAGGAAATTCTGGAAAGGCAATGTAATTGCAGGGTCATAAAAGCTGCCTCTCTGAGGAGGGGATGTGTGAGCTGTGGCCAAATGATTAAGGGGCCATCCATGCAAAGACCTCAGAAAGTGAAAAGCCCCCAAATCAGAAGTGATCTTGGTATGTGCAAGGATGAAAGAAGGCTGAGGGGCAGAGAGGTAGAAATAGCAGAAGGCCTTTGAGTCCGTGGAAAGGAATTCTCATTATCACTTCTACTATACCTGGTGTATATCTTCAGTTATCAGACAGAGCAACTGTTGGCTTAATGAAAAACTTCAATTAAACATCTTTGTAAGCTTCCTGAAACACTAATCATAAGATGAGCAAAATAATGCCATACATATTTTACAGACTAGTTACACTAGTAAAAGTCCAATGTAAGCCCAAAGAAATTATCAAGTAATCTGTTAGTAATTGTATTTTCTTGTATCAAACTACTTGGTAAAGCCTGCTGGCTTTCTGAGGTGACTGCTTTTAACTCCACCCCCACCCCCCCAGTTCTTTGCAGTCAGTGGCTTCACATACTAAATGCAGCTGAAGCTGATAAGATCAACCCCACCACCACCACTTGGGATAAGGCCAACTCAAGGAAGAGAGAATGGGGCAGGGAAAAGGATTAAAGATAATGAAAAGGAGGCAACTTTAAAAAACACTTTCATATTCACAGAGCTCTAGAAGTAAGCCACCAGCAACATGTGGCAACTTAAATTTAAAGGAAATTAGTGCTTTAGTTCCTCAGTGCACTAGTCATACTTCAGGAGCTCAACAGGCACATGTGGCTAATAGCTACCATACTGGATAGAGCACAACATTCCCATTTGACAGCACTGCTCTAGAACTTTTAAAATGTTAGCAGTGTTCTCAAGATAACTGAAACATTAAATGAATAATCTCAAAAGCAGGTGGTAGAGGAATGCTGGAAGGGAGAGTATATTATGTCCCCTTCTCACTGAACCTAATGAGTCTCGTCCATAAAAACTCTCCAGCTCTCCAGTGCTACATGAGCTTCATCTGTGACCTGGTACACTGGTATCATTCTTGTAAATGTTTGTACGCGTCTGAAAAATCTGGGCAGGTATCTTAGATTGGCTTCTTCAAGAAGCTGACCCCTGAGAGAACAATTTGGAAGGAAGTGCCCATCACTGAGGGAGTGGAACAGTACAGAGAAGGAGGAAGGAAGCATCGCTGCAGCAGGTAAGAAAGAAAACAAAACCCAAACATCTATGTGTTTATTACTTTACTTTCCGGCTGTTCCCCAAAGGAAATGGACCAAAATATGGCACAATTTAAGTCACCAAAATTACAGACCGTCTGAGGTGATTTTTAAAAACAGTGTATGTTGCAACAAGTGGCAGAACTGGTGGCACAAATGTGGATGTACAGAGGAAAGAGATTTTTATGGGGTTTATTCATGGGTGTATTAAATAAAATGTAACATTCCATCATCCTCTTACCTTTTAGGTCATGACCAGCCGTAGGTATGTACACGCTGTTGAATCTGGGATACAGTTGACCCTGAACAACATGGATTTGAACGAGCAGGCCCACTTATGTGGACTCTTTTTAATAAATACAGTACTATAAATGTATTTTCTCTTATGATTTTCTTAACATGTTCCTTTCTCTAGCTTATTGTAAGAATATAATATATAACACATATACAAAATATGTTTTAATAGACTTACTGGTAGGGCTTCTGGTCAACAGTAGGCTATTAGTAGTTAGGTTTTTGGAGAATCAAAAGTTATACAAGTTTTAACAGTGGGGGGGACAACCCCTGCATTGTTCAAGGGTCAACAGTATATATTTTTTAAATATTTATAATTTTACTCATAGGGAATATCAAATATATTTGAGAAGAAAAACTCCCAATTGCTTACTCTAATCTATAAACTTTTTTATGTCTAACAATTATTGATAATTAATTTGGTAAGACTGACTAGAAGGTCAAATTATAAAAATATGTATAAACTTCTTTAAATCAAATTTTCATTTTTAAATACATTTTTTAACTTGCAAAGTTATACAACATATTACTGTTTCCTATACCTTGTTTACCTCCTTTGGATAGAAATATCCTGCAACTTAAATTTTCCATTAACTTAATAAAATGTATGCAGAAGATTCTAGTATAACCTTTCTTTCATTGGATAAAAGGGAATTTCCTATAAACATTTTAATAACTAGCTTTATGTACTATTTCTTATAACTATGATTATGTAAAAAGTAGGTAATACCTGATTTATTGAGAGTAATTCCAGTTGTATACAGGAAATTGTCCACTTTCAAAAATTGTTGTAGAACTGTAAGATAGCCTGTTACATTGTTAATGTGATGGTTGTCGGGTAGTTTAATTAAGGCTTTTGAAAACTGAACACTTGGTTGAGATTTGGCATCTGGAAAAGGGAAACCTCATTAATAAATAGACAAAACAAATGCATATCAAGCAGAGCATCATTGCTTAGGACACTTTAACATCTCATTATTTTAAATTCAAAACTGAAATAAATAAATCTTCCTTTCTTTAGATCACACAAGGCCCTTTACCCTAGAAACTGCTTGATTCTTCTGTCCAGAATTTCTTCACCCTTTTTTGGGGTTTCACTCCAGGGACCCACATACCATTTTAGTCCATATGGTTCACTTGGGGTTTCATTTCTGTAACAGTAGAGTTAATGGTGCATTCCAGAATGGGCTGGAACCAATCCAAGTATCATTCCATTTATAAATGTTATCTCATGTTAATAACTTTGAATTCACTATCCTTTAATATAACTTAGGGAGTGAGAACTCAGAATATTGATACTTCTATAATTAATGCATTTTTAACAATCCAAGGGTCAACTCTTAAATCATTAAAACTTATCAAAAACATCAACTATTGCTTTGACTTTAAAGGTCACTGAGAAACACAGAAGCAATCAGTTAAATTATTAGAATTTTAAAAGTACCAGTTTCTAAATAGTTACATGATAAATAAAATGTAATATAATTCTCAAAATCAGTATATAGTTTACATATGAAGCTAGAAAAATAATACCTGGAAAATAAGGGATATAAATAAAAAAACACATTATTCTTGTTTGGTTAAATTGTTAAATTTAATCATTAATTGTTTAAGTACTCTTATACCTTCCATCTGATCACTTTACACATACTATCTACACCTTACTCTTTTAAAATATGTCTTGAATTTCAGATTAATGGAAGCTAACTGAGACATGAAAACTGAATGCAACACCTGACCCTAAAATGGAGTCAGAAAAAAAAAAAATGTGTCGGTGCACAAAACGGGAATTTGGATGATAAGTTATCCTAACAAAATAGTTTTGCTGAACTGTGCCATGGCTACTTAATAACCCTAATTCTTAGGAATTGCATGCTTAGGTATTTAGAAGTAAAACGCCATGATATGTGTAACTTACTTTCAAATGGTTCAGGGAAAAAAAAAAAAGGCATACCCAGAGCACAATACACATAGTAAAGCAAATGGAATAAAATGTTATTAATAGGTGAATCTGAGTAAAGGGTATACAGGAGTTATTTGTCTCTGATTCTTCCAACTTTTCTGTATTTTGAAATTATTTCTATATTTGAAGTTATTTCCAAATACAGAGTTAAAAACTTAAAATATACACCTTAATTATGTTGAAGCCCCAAATTTCTTACAATTGAAAACATGTACACTAAGTAAAATGTCTGGCTGAGCTTCTCTAAGGTTTGTACATTCCTGAAGTTTCAAATTTCTCCTGCTCCCTTTCCCACAAATACACACAAACCTAACACATTTTCATTGCATAAACCATACACTTTTTTGATCAAATCCTGGAAAAAAAAATATAAGCGTTTTATGGAAGTTGAGAAATGAGGATGGGCATTTTCTAAGGAAGGATTTAACATCTGCAGAAACATCCATCCCTTCCTCATTAGCCCTATCAATAGCTCAACTCTTAGGGAAATGAGGCAGTAAAAGTGATCTGAGACCTCAAGAGAGCTCCGTGTTATGGAGACACACCAAGACATAGCTAGTATTTTCCAGACAAATGAGCATTCACTATTGCTTGGTAAAATGCAAAAGAGTGGCCCATGGGCATGTTCACACTAATCCATTTCATATATTCTGAAGGAAATTACAATTTGTAATGGAGTTTGAAGAGGACAGTAAGAACTAGGAAGGTGTCAAAACAAAACCAAAACAAATTGCTGAAGAGGGACTGTTTTTGTTAAGGTCCCAACAGCATAAAATGTAGCCTCTCTCTGTCGTCAGTAGTTCCGATTTAATTGTCATCCGTCTACGCACAATGCCACGTGCACCCATTTGTGCACCCATTTGGCCGTGCACCAGCAAACTCAGCAGCTCACAGTTCTGTTAAATGCATTCGAGTTCAAGAGTAAGAGAGTCTGCTACTTTCCTCAGTAAATGACTCCAAAATTAATCATGCCTGAGTTTTTTTTCCCAAATAATATTTTTTAATACTTTAGAAATAAATAAGATAACCTTCTGAAAATGAACTTTCACAATTTCTTTGACTGTGACTGTTATTGGACTCTATTTTTGAAGATTTTCTGCTTCTACCAGTCATTCCTATTATGCTCAATCCTAAACATTAATTCCCCCCCCGCAAAAAGGCAAATTGTTGTCATCTATAGAGGTTTTATACAATATGCAGTAAAAGAGTGACTAAATGCTGGGGTTTCCCCCTAAGGACTATTAAGGAAGATGGGGGGGTGGCAGTGGGGGGAGAGGTAAGCCTGAAACGGTCTTTCTCAGGGTTGGTAAAGTGAAACTGGAGACCACAGCTTGAATCAGACCTAAAATAAGGCTTCCTGTGGGATATGCAAGTGGGGTGAATCCCATCTGCTGAGGAAAGACCTTACCTGGTCTCGGGCTTTTCCCTGCTCAGGCAGCAGGCTTAATGCTAGATGCAGGGATGAAGGTGCCTGCAAACCAATTTCACTAACCACTAAAGCCCAGTGAGAGAGGTGTTTTGAAAAGAAGTTGAGAATCTCTGTGTAACATTTCCAAAAGTCAAATGTACCTACTCGGGCAGGGGTGGGAGGTGGTGGTGGTGGTGCTAAAACAGTAAAGGACGAGCACAAAACCCCACACTGTAAGTCTGACAGTGAAATAAGAACCAGTTCAGATCAACTTAGAGCAGTACTAATCCTCCCTGATCAATTTAGGGTTTGTTCCAAGGGATAACCAACATTGATTCACTAGTGAAGTACAGTTACATAATTAAAGTGATTATTATCACTGAGAAGAGTTGTACTTACCAGCTAATTTCCCAGTAATTAAAACAGTGTCTTCAAAGAGCCATATATTTGCTTGGCTTTGCGGGAACAGTGAAAGTGTAACTGATGAATATACTGTGAAATACAGCACAATTAAAATGTTTTATTAAATGTGGGGGAAAAGTAGGTAAATATAGTCTATTCCGGCAGTCTCTAAAATATGGGGGCGAGGGGAGGGGGAACTGTGGAAACAAGGAAACATAAATGTAAAGTACGATGGAGGGGGGAAACAGAAGATACAGTAAAGTGAGAAAAAAAGGCCAGGGGTCAATTTTATTTTACTTAAGCCTATTTCCAGTAGTTTGTACCAAAGTGACTAATGATAGTCCCTAACCCCAGTTATATACAGTCAGGTTAAATGCTTGAATAATCCTGAAGAATCCTCTGCTATTTTCTCTATATAATGGTTACTTATTAGGTCCTTCTAATGATTTTTACAAAATCTTGGCTCCACAATTCAAGGTTCTCTGAGATAGAGACTAGATCCACTGCTTGCTTGTTTTTTTCAAACTTCCTGCATAAGGGCGCAGCGCGCTTCATTACACAGTAGGGTCTGCCAGCCTCTGGGTTGGCAGAGCAGGAAAACAGTTGAACACATAATGAACAAATGATCCACAGGCAACCACTGGTAGTAATGCAGGAGGAGGCCAGATCTGCCTGCAAGAGTAGGCGCCTTCAGTAACTGGTGGGACAAGTGCAGAGGACCTGAAAGACAACTACATTATTTCAAGGTCAGAAGCAGCAGGAACAAAAGACCATTTTATAAGATCAGATCAAATAAACTTACTAAAAGTGAGTTCTCATTTGATAGCTCTCCTCTATCCAATATAAGTATTTGAATTTAATAGAAATAACATAATATTCCTAAATCACTTAGGACAGGATAAAACAGATTTGCATGGGAATACTTTTCATGTTTTAAGATATTTCAAAGAGCTGTAAAGGAAATAGAAAAAAGAAGATAAAACATAAAAAGATATGAATGGATATAAAACAAAATATACTTTTTCCTACAACAGAAAAAGAAGACTACCAGGCAAAAGTGTAATTTTAATTCAGAAGCCATTAATAGACTTTAATGGCTTTATCAGATTGGAGAGAAAGTGTTAGGGTAGTAGCTTGGACCTTGAGATGATTATAATTAGGGCACTTTCCCGTATTTGGCTACTCTCTCAGTCAGAGGTAGCTTAAAATGGGGGCAGCCCTGACAGTTTGTTATGAAACCTGAGGAAAAACTTCTGAACTTCACTAAAATTTACATGTAGATTTCCTTTCACTGACAAAATGTTTCTCATTATAAAAGGGATGAATATCCACTATGGAAAGGTTGAGAAATAAAGGAGAAGAAAGTGATGGTCATCACAATCTCACAACAAAGACAATAAGTACTAATATTTCAGTATACTCTTTATGGATTTTTTCCTGAGTTTTTTTAAAAAATAATATTATATACAGAATATTTTTACCCTACTTTTTCATTTAAGGTAAATAAGCATTTCTGTCCCTCAATAGAAACCTTTTCTATTTCTATTTTCAAGGTCACATATTTCATTTCTTGAAGTATCAAGACTTACTGAACCACTATACTACTTAGATTGTTTTCATTTTCACTATTATTGCAAAAATAATCAACATCCTTATATATGAATATCTGTCAACTTTAGTTATTTGTTTTTTTTTAGGAGAGATTACTAGCAGCGGAATACTGGTCAAAGGTTATGAAGATTTTGAAGACTTTTGACACACACATTTCAAAATTGTTATCCAGATCATTTTGTTGACTTGTACTCCCACCAGCCATGTTTGAGGATACTCATCACACCTCACTTTGTCAACACTGAGTATGCACTTTTTAAAAATGTTTCTAAGGTAAAGAATCTAAGAAATGTGTATGTCTTTGGTGTACAAATCTGAGACTATTAGGAAGATAAAACATTTTGTCACACTTAGTGACAAATCATTAGTTTTTCTCTTTTTGAAAATTGCTATGTCATAATTTTGTCCATTTACCTTATTCAGCCAGGGCCTTGGTGTTTTCTTACTAATTTGTATGAATTATTTGCATAATAAGAATATTCCGGGGCGCCTGGGTGGCTCGGTTGTTAAGGGCCTGCCTTTGGCTCAGGTCATGATCCCAGGTTCTGGAATCGAGCCCTCCATCGGGCTCCCTGCTCAGCCGGGAGCCTGCTTCTCCCTCTCCCTCTGCCCCTGCTTGTGTTCCCTCTCTCGCTGTCTCTCACTCTCTGTCAAATAAATAAATAAAATCTTAAAAAAAAACAAACAAACAATATTCCTCCTACCGGCACCTGGGTGGCTCAGTCGGTTAAGCATCTGACTCTTGGTTTTGGCTCAGATCATGATCTCAGGGTTGTGAGATCAAGCCCCACGTTGGGATTCTCTGCCTCTCCCTCTGCCCCTCCCCCTCCTTGTGCACTCTCTTTCACTTGCCTTCTCTCAGATCTTTTAAAAATATATACTTCTTATTGTCTCATATTTTTCCTTGGCCCTATTTCTTAGAGATAATTAACATAATTTATTAGCTTCAGGTGTACAACATGATTCAGTATTTGTATATATTGCAAAATGATCACAGTAAGTCTAGTTAAGATCCACCACCATACATAGTTACATTTTTCCCTATGATAAGAACTTTTAAGATCTACTCTCTTAACAACTTTCAAATATGCAACATTATTATTAACTATAGTCACCATGCTATATGGTACCTTTTTTAAAAATAGTGAAATCTGCTTTTTATGACCTCTTTCATTAAAGTTTATGCAGACCATCCTAATTTTTTTTTTAAAGATTTTATTTATTTATTCATGAGAGACGGAGAGAGAGAGAGAGAGAGAGAGAGAAGCAGAGGGAGAAGCAGGCTCCCAAGGAGCAGGGAGCCGGATGCGGGAATCGATTCCAGGACCCTGGGATCATGACCTGAGCCGAAGGCAGACGCTTAACCATCTGAGCCACCCAGGTGCCCCAGACCATCCTAATTTTTAAAAAATCAAGTAGTTTTTTTAATTTTCTTGTGTTTAATAGGATTTGATTTTCCACATTTGAACTCTATGAGAAATATATTTGGAATATGAAACCAAATTCATTTACTCCAGATAATTAACCAAAACATCCTAACGCTACTTACTGAATATTCAGCCTTTTCTCACTGATTTATAATTGTACCTTATCATAGATTACAGTTTCTTATACATGTATCTGATTTGTACCACAGTATCAGTTTTAATTGTGTAGCTATATAATATTTTAGTTATTTGAAATGGCAAATTGCCTCTAATAAATATTCTTTTAAAATGATTTCCAGGTATTTTTATACATTTATTCTCCAAGGATTATTCTGCCAGGATTTTTTTTTTAATGCACTAAATCTATAAATTAGGAAGAACTGAAATCTTTACAATATTCAGGCTTTCTAAACAAATTATAATGTTTTGTCATTTATCCAGGGTTTTAGTTTTTAGTTTTCTTTTTTTAAGGTCTATCAGTAACATTTGGTAGTTTATTTTCCCCAACACATTGTTATTTCACAGTTTTTTTTAGGTTTCCCTGCATATTTTGTTTGCCCTTGTTGTTTGAGAGGGATTTCATTATTTCCATAACTGCTGACTACTTCTGGTATATAAGAATATGTATTGATTTGTACCAGTGCTTATTCCACACTCAGTAATTCTGTCAAATTCCATTAATTTTGAGCACTTTAAGATTCATGCTTTGTAATTTTCCAGGGATATGATAACTGGAAATAGTAAATGTTTTGATTCTTTCTAATAGCTATTCCCCTTTTTTGGTCTGTTGATATATATTTGCTCTGATAAGAACTTCTGTAATGTAAAATAATATGGACATGTGTTCAGTTTCTTATTTTATTAGGATCACCTCTAATATTTTATAGTATGATTTTGAGATATTTACCATGTTAAGAAGATCTTTGTGATCCTAGTTTTTATGGTGCTTTTATGTTCTTAGTTATGCACAGATGGTGAACTCATAAAATGCATTTCAGACAGCTGTTAGTGTTATCATCTGATAGTTCTAATATGATATGTAAAATTAACAGAATGACACATTTGACATCCTTATAATCCTATAAAGAAAAATCCTACTTGGTCTTAACAGAAATCTGTATTTAAATAATGGTGAAATTCTTTACAATTCTGTTTAGGATTTTTGGATTTAGAGTTATAAGATTGGTCTATAGAAGAGTATTTGTGTGTATGAGAGAGAGCACATATTAGAGCATTTAATTTTGCATTACCTTTGTTAGGTCTCAGAATCAAGGCTGTACTGGTTTTATAAAATGATTTGGAGTACCTTTTTTTTTAATAGCCTTTGACTCAAGCTATCTTTACTCAGGATATCTTATCCATGACTATTAGTCTACCTCACCTAAAATGAACATAATCATTTATAATATCACAAAATTGTTTTAGGTTTTTTAAGATTATTTAAGATTCACTGCCATCAAATTTGATATAGAACTTTTATGATTTTTAAAATTTTATATATATTTTTTTCTTTTACTTGCCTGTTTAGATTAGCCAGATGCATGTGTAATTTATTTCAAAGAACTAGCATTCTGTCAATTATCTCTTCTTTATATTTTCTAATTAATGTTCATCTAGTTTCTTCTTTATTTCCTTTTTCCCATCTTACTTTTGGTTTCTTTCATTATTCTTCTAACTTTCATTTAGTGATTAATTGTGCTTGATTTCTGTCTTTTAAAAAAACTAAAGCATGTAAGACCATGAATTCACCTTAGACATATCCCTATTCAGACTTTTGAGTCATGATTTTATTAAATCTCATTCACAGGAATCTTAGTTTATCTAATTCATTTTTCATTTTCTTTCTTATTTTAAACTTGAACAGTGGTTCAAGAATTTAAATGTTTCCATTGTGAAACCAAATAAAGTATCTAAATTCTAATAAGAACCATCACAATTAAGAAAAAAGATTACCTAATGTATCACACTTCCAATCAGCCAGACTTGCATTCTAGTATCTTATATGGCCTGTACTTCCCAATATCCAATTAGTCACACTAAGTCCTATCAATTCTTATTTTTTCCCCTCAGATTTATTGAGATATAATTGACATGACAGTGTAAGTTTACAGTGTGCGTGATGATTTGCTATGTGTATATATCGTGAAATGGTTACACAGTAATTACCAATTCTTTGCTCGGTAGGCCTCTGGTACTCACCTTCTTTTCACTACCTCTCTTGCATCAGACTGTGCTTATCACCCACCAGGAGCACAACCACAGCTTTGGAACAAGCCTCCCTGCTTTTGGCCTAAATGTCATACACTTTTAAATAAATTCAGTTTCCAAACAACTTACAGTTATGGTACTCAGGAATCTGTAACAACTGCCTTATTATTCAGCACATAAATCTAAACTTTGTGCCTCCTCTTTTGAGAGCATCCTTTCTTCATCTGGCCCACCCTGCTTCTGGCTAACCTTCTGGGCATGCCAAGCCCCTCTCCGCCACCTGCAGACAAGCTTTGTACCTGAACAGAGCTCTTGCTCAGGATTCCTTCAAACCTCTGTAGGAAAAATAAATAAATAAATAAAAACATGTTTTCTTCAAACTGGCACTCCTTCTAACCTCTCTGTATTGATTTCACATAGGTTTTCTCATTTTCAGTTCACCAGAGCAGAAGATTCCCAAAGAAGAAAAAAAACAAAAAACAAACAAAAAACATTTCACATTTAGTAAAGGCAAAACACTGTGTAAGTGCTTACTTGGCATTTTTCCGGTCTTCCAAGGCAGAGGTGTCAACACATAGCCATCTTTGTAAGCAATAATGGTTAAGCTGAGTCCTAATTTATAGGGTACTTTTATCAACACTGCTCCATTGTTTTTAGTTACTGTGGAATTTGTTTTCGTGTAGTTTACAAACACTTCTACAACTGCTTGACTCAGGTACTGACGACTGATGATGTCATTCACCTGCACTTTCAGCATAAATACAGACACTGGAGAAGAAAAAAAGCCAGAAATGGCAGGTTAGATCCTAGAATGTCTATGTCGCTATACCTTAAAATGTCATTCAAAACATCTGAACAGTACAAAACTGCTGATAAAATCTAGAAATACATAATGTATGGATGAATTGATAGAAATAGGTATAAAAACATTCCAACAAGTTCATTATTCTTTCTAAAACTGAATTTAAATTTATTATTAATAAGACAGTGTTGTTATTCCAATTTTTTCTGCCAATAAAAAAAGGAAAAGGAAGCAGTGAATCTGAGGGGAAGGGAGGTTTGCTTTTCAGAAAAACACATTTTTACTTGGCCTCACTAATCCTAATGCTACCAATTAATTCAAAATATAGTCAAAGTTCCTAGAATAAAATGCAATCTCACCAAACCTAGGGCATGGTTGGCTCCTTTTTTTTTTTTTGTTCTGTTGTCTGGAAAGCAAGGGATGTGTTTCAAATTACAAAGTATCAAAACAATATCCTTAAAATGTCAAAAAGTATTATCTGTTAAATATATAACAAAGCATAGTAAGATAGTAAATTGAGAAAAATCAAAATTAACTTGTTTCTAACTTAAACCTCCAGCTTTATAGATCTTGATGATATGTTCATGAATTTCCCCAACGTTAATGTCTTGTTTAAAAAGAACCTGTATCACCATGCAAATGCCTTTGTAAAGCCTGTATCACAACACCTTTGCCAAAGATGACTTCTCTTCCACTATTAATGGGCTTTGGAGTCAGTCAAGGTCAATCGCTGCCATTCCCTAGATATGTGACTTGGGGGAAGTTAACTTCTCAAAGTCCATTTGCTCATCTGTAAAATCAGGAGAATAACTACTTTGAGGTAATAAAATGAGATAATGCAAATAATGTGCTCAGCACGGTGGTTGGTTGTCACTTAATATCATTATTAATAAAAATTATTACTCCATAATTGGAGACCATTTCACAAACATCAGAGTCATCAGTAAAAATACCTCAAGAGGGTGTGCCTGGGTGGCTCAGTCAGTTAAGTGTCTGACTCTTGGTTTCCGCTCAGGTCATGATCTGTGTCCTGAGATGGAGCCCCACATCGGGCTCCCCACTCAGCAAGGAGTCTCCTTGAGATTCTCTCTCTTTCTTTCTCGCTTTCTGCACCCCCCCACCCCTGCACATGTGCTCTCTAAAATAAGTAAATACATCTTTTAAAAAAATACCTCACAAGGACTTATTTTGTGGCTCTACATTTACAAAAACCCATTTTACTCAAAATTTTTAGCAAGAACAGCATGTCAGGTAAAAAATCCTTGTCAACACTAGGCTGCAATATCAGCTACCAAATTACTGTTACAACTTATGTATTCTAACTTTATTAATATAAACTAGACTTTAAATTGTTTTTGGACCATAACAAAGACATTTTAAGGACAAGTAGAACTACCACAGTAATCACCCGGTCCTAGGAAAGATATAATGTAGCAAGCTAGAAAAGAGCTCTGATCCTTTCAAGAATCTAAAATTAAAGTCAAATGTTATCCAAACACTATTCTATATATATTCAGACACAAACATTTTTAGTGTATTTCCTCTCATGAATCTTAATAAAATATGTTAGTACTATATCTAATTATAACCTCAAGAGCTAAAATATGTTCAGCATTAATGAGCCAGGCATTGTGTTAATTTTTAAGTGCATCATTCCATTTACTCTTCAAAGCCCTCGTTACAGAAATGTTATTGTTTTCTTCGTCACGTATATTGGTAACTGTGGGTTAAAGAGGTTTGTTAATCAGCCATGGCCAACCCACAGCAGAGAAAGGAAACAGGACACAAACTTGGGACCATCTGTCCTCACAGCTTGTGCTCTTGAGCCACTGCACTACAGCTGCCTGACTGAACTCTTCAGGCGACTCCAGCCAAAGCTTAGAGTGCAGGGATGGGGAGAGTGAATTGGGAAAAGAAAAGGGAGGATTAGATCCTAGGCAGTCATAGCTTGAAACGAGGTTCCATTAGTCTGTCTAAAACACTGTTAATTTCCAGGACAACAATCTCATATATATTCAAATATATATATGGAGAATAGATAAGGCATCATTTCACATCATCTTATAAGTTCACCCCATTACTCTAAAGTTAAAAAAAAATCATGTTTGTAACATTTAAAATCAAAATATGAAGAAGGGCTGGGTATAAACATCTTCCTAATGCCAAGCCTCGCATGTATATTATCACAAAAATCTCAACATACCTTTGTAACATATGTGATATCAAGTCCACTTTATCAGTGAAAAAATGAGGATTCAGACAGGTAATGTGGACTGCCCCAAGGTTCACATATATTAAGAGGCCCTGTCAGCCTTCAGTGTCCCCATGAATGACTCCAAAGCCATCTTTACGCCATGTAACAGAGTCTTGGGGTCACACTACTAAAATTAACTCAAGGAATACGGTGTTGCAATTACTGAGAAATGCTTACATGACATCAATTAAAAAGAAAAAAAAGGTGTTCCCCAGCACACACACACGCGCTAAACTATGGCCTCAAACTCAAGTGGGAAATATAACTGGGGTAAAAACATAAATAAAAGGTTGTAATATATGTGACACGATGGCCACCTAAACCAAACATCCGTGAATAGGTCTGCCGAGTACAAATAGCTATTTATGTGTGGAGGACAAGAAGTTGCCCCATTCAAAATAATTCCCCCAGCCTCCTACCTCCTAATTCCCTCGATGAAATTCACTGAACCACTGGCACAAAGCGCCTAACTAATGGGGGCCAGAAAGATTGTGAGGACCTCGAAATGTGGCTGAAGATACACAAGAGCTAGTGGTTTCTGGCATGGAAACATCTTAGAAAGTCTATGCGTGCCTACCCACTGTGCTTTCCCACGTCTCCCTGCCCCCTCTTTCCCAAGGCTGGTCATACAAGCCCCTCCTGCTGATCCATGAGCTGTACCATAATCCCTCCCCAAAGGCCCTTTATTCCTTGTAGCCAGAGTCAGACATGGTTGCTTGCTTCCAAAGCAAGCACCTTAAATGATAGAGGGTACAACTGAAAACATAGGATGTGTTATTTAATGGGCTACCCTATCTTTCATAAGAGAAGGTGAAGGAAGGAAGGATAATGTTATGCACCAGAAATAGGATAAAGCATATGAGGAGATGGCACATAACTAAAAGGGCATTAAGATTCTCTGATAAAATTTGATAATGGATCTTATTCCAATCAAGTAAGTGTACCTACAACAGCTCCTACAACAGCTCACTCAGGAATGGGGATTTTGATTAAATCATTTGCTCCAAAGATTAATTTCAGAAATTCTCAGAGCCTTTGATTTATAGACAAATTCCAATGTATAGTAAGATCCTAAGCTAAATTCATTAAAAAAAACTCTGTATTCCATCTGGTTCATCCTGTAAAAATAACAGTTGCCAAAATAAGATACACTAAAGCCTCCTGACATTCTGAAGCTGGGTTTGGTTAATAAGTGTTTCTAAAACATTTTCTAATCCAGGATAATTTTATTTTTCCACATGTAATCGTTACGTTAAAGACTAAATTTGATGAGAAAATGAGTATCAAATTCAGGGAAAAAAATGACTTGCCAAGGTCAAACTTTGGCTTTGTGCACCTTGGATCTCGTAGCCTCAGGACAGGATGTAACCCTGACCAGCAGAGTCCTCTCCAGCTCAAACTGGAAAAAACTAATGGTATTTGAGACACACACACACACACACCCCAAACCCAGTGCTAGAAACTTTATACATGTTGGTATTTGACACACACACACACACACACACCCACCCCAAACCCAGTGCTAGAAACTTTATACATGTTGTCCAATTTCATCCTAATACAAACCTGCAAGACTTTTCTCCAGTGTTAAGGCAAGGCTAAAATTGCACAAATTAAGAAGGGTAGAGGCAGGATTCATGGACAAGTTCATCTGACCCCAAGTCCCATGCATTCTACTCCCCACATCTCTCATTGAAAAGACTTAGATCGGGTTTTCAGCATATTCCGTAGCTTCCTTATTTCTTTCCAGCCAGCGCAGAGAAGGAAGTGCTTGATTTGCTGCTGACCCTCTGAGCCTCTCACCCCAGCCTCCCACCTGATTTGTCTGGCCCCAGCATAAGCAAGAGCAAAACCAACATTGAAAACAAAAACAAAAAGTCTCAGCTGGAGGCCTGCTCACCGCAATTAAAGGAGCATGAACAATTCTTTTTCCTCCAAATAAAAGGAAAAGTTATAAAGATTGCCTGCTCGTGACTTAAATAGGATGCTTCTGACTTCCATGATGTCAACAGTTGATCAGGCAAACAGGCCTGGCAACAAAAATATATACATTATATATATATATAATATATATATATATATATATATATATATATATATATATATATATATAATCTCCATAACAATCCCCCTTACTCGTTCTCTCCAACAAAAATACTTTGGCATTTAGATGGGGCAGATTTTGTGGTTAAATATATAATTTTCAACCACAGGTGCTTTTGTCTCCATCATCAATCTACTCTTCTCCACTGCATTTTTCAGCTTTCCCTGCACTTGGTATTTTTTCTGTCACTTAATTATAATCGTTATGTCTTGCCCACATAATCTTCTTTTCAATATGTCACCATTAGTTTAAAAAACAGTTCAATATCAAATGATTTCAACTGAACCCTTAGAAAACACATAATCTAGCTGTTGAGAGAAACAAAAACAAAATACACATCAATGAGCATGGTCCTAAGGTTGCTGGGGAAAATTTTAACTATCACATGATTAAAAGTATTGTTCAGTAGTTAGAATCACTATAATTCAAAAGACTAATGTATACATAAAGAAGTGCTCCTGAAAGAGCATGTTAGAACCAACACTATTACAGTTTTGCTATAGGATAGAGACAGGTGACTCAAAGTCGAGGAAGGGTTTTAGAAAAGTAAAGCTAGCTATTTGTTTGGCTATCATCTAGAGCTTCAAGTGGGGTGGGCTGATAAATTA